GTTAGCTCTCAGTAGACAGTGTACAGTGCAGGCTGGGGTGGGTAACATCTTTTATGGATGCTTTGGAGCACTTCGAATTATGGCTACTTGAAGTGTGGCCGTGTGATGTTTTCCCTAAAGATGCACAGGCACCAAATCCCCTGGAATGAGTTAGCACAAAAGCAAGCACACCGCTCATTTGACTGGAAGACAAGACTGTTGGAGTTTTTCCACTGTAGGAACCTACTGAAACATCCTGGGTTCTGTGTTTGTTTCCACTGCCATGTGCCAGCTTTTGAAGTGCGTTCCAGGAGCTAAATTTCAGCGCCACTCGGGAGGTAGTACTAAAATCAAGTTTCAAGTACCTGAGAGGGGAGGGGGTTGTCACCTGTGACTGGATAAATGTTAGAGTCATCACAGCTCAACTATTAGCATTACAGGTTGGCCGCGGGCAAAGTGGCAAGCACGTCACATCTCTACAAGTTCAGGTTCTGTTTGTTCAACTGCTCATACAGTCTGTTTAGTGTTGCACTAATGAGCAATGTGGTCCTTGACTCACATGCTGCGTGTGTATTGTGTGTATATGTGTTTGTGGGCCCAAAGTCCTGGAGTTATTATTTTCATGAAGACCAGAGGTAGTTCATTGAATTTTACAAAAATGTTGGGGTGTAAGGTTAGAGCAAGTGTCGGCTTTGGTTAAGGTTAGGGTAAGTCTAAGTCGATGTACAGACCCTGTAAGTGATTACTGCAGGACTGTTTGTGTGTGCATGTGTATGTGTGTGCTAGAAGTGCAGCCCTGCCCTCGTGTAAACAGAAAATGACACAAGGAAAAATGCAGTGGAAAAACAAAGTGGAACGAAACGCATCAGCCCATCACGTTATACTGGGTGACAGTTATAGGAAGCATGAGGTGTACAGTTCAGTGAGTTCCTACAGTAAGAAAGGAAGAAAAGAAAAGAGAGAGATCAAGACACAAAAGAATAAAAACAAAGAATAGGAACATAAAGAAAAGCCAGCAGAGAACACAACAAGAGGAGGGGAGGTAACTGAGTCCACAGTGCTTTGTTCCCTGCTGTGATTACAATGAACCATTTGACCATCTACTCATACTTAGTTACCATCAGTTACATTGATCACATATTGTATCATCCTACAGGGCATATATAACTGTTCTACAGGCCACTTGCATAGTAATCACCCCCATTTACCTTCAGTAGGTTTAGTTCTTCTTCATTACATAACCAGTCAGCTGCTGAATATAATAACCTAGTAAGCTCTGACAACCATTTTCTTTCCCAAAATGTCAAACTATTCATTTAAAGCTAAACTGTTAATAACTCCTTATTTGTAGCTTTATCATTTTGTTATTTATCTCAGCTTGACAGATTCTATGTTGTTTTTGTACAAAGCTTGTAGTTGGGAGTAGTGCAGAATACCGGTACTGAAGCCTAAACCACTGGTAGAGAAGCGTTTCCAATCAGGGTATGGAGGCACCAACATTTTAAGTGGTAATCAATAGTCCACAGCATCAGATCAGATGGTCTTATAAATAACTGTACTCAGTGATATTTATGACTTCGTTAAATCAAAGGATTCCAAATTGTCATGGTGTCTTTGTTTAACAGTTATTTTCATTATTTCCACAGTGGGCACAGCTACTGTTAAGTCAGCTACTAGTGGTGTACCATTTTGTGACCAATAATTACTATTGACTTCAGACATCCAGGAACCAGAGGACATATGCTCATGATATACTGCTGATATATTGTAAAATAAAAGAAAGGGTAATACGGAAACATGCATCCTAGCTATGTTGATTGCTAAGGCTATTCTGCATTTGTATATTTTAGCAACTCGTCTAAGGTGTGCCATGTCTGCAGTGGCACACAGGGAGCTCAACCTGGGAATGTGCTGTTAAGTGGCTATAATTTGATTTGTCAAACTGGAGACAGGTTAATCTATCAACAACTCAATCTAAAAAAAAAAAAACACAATCTGCTTGTTTATTTGTCTGGTTTGTAAAATGATGGATCTCATTTTCCAAGGTTTTCCTACCAATGTTCTTGTACAATTAAAATTTTAAAAATCTATATACATCTCCAGCTCTTTCGAAAGAGATCATGTCAAATAAATCAGTCCCTGCTTTGCCTTCATCACTGTCTTCTGAGGCCTTGTCTCCCTCTCCTCTCTCCCACAGCTGTACTGGGCTCTGTATCCAACCTTTGCCTTTCACTGCAGCCTGACTGTGCACCAGAATTTTTAAGATGAAGTTTTTGTTTGTTTTTAGTACTCATAAGACCGCATAAGGGATCCATGCTCCAATCACAATTGCACCGTGCACTGGCAGTGGTTCTGTGTGGCCTCGTCTCCCTCCACTATCTATGGCCGGCTCAGACCCACTCTGTCCACCTGCTCACCTTTCATGTGTTTCTATCACTAAACGCTGCGGCAGCAACAGTAGACTGTTGTTGACTTGCTTTACATGAATAACAGAGGTTTGATAAAGCAAAGGGGTGGCTACAGTTTGGCATTAATACAGAGATGTTCCCTGCTAGGTTTTTGAGCAAGTCTCCCCTATTCCACCTAATCAGAGAAGGCAAAAATGAGGGGTGGAAGCCAGAATAATCCAAAATGCTTCAAACTGTTGTAGAGGCAACAGAGAGGAGGATACTTGTTAGTGTGTCCACTCAGTTTTATGGTCATTTTGAGACTGGAGCTACTGTTGTTGTCATTGTGGACGGTCATCAAAAAAAGCTGTTTCTGATATATTTTTTTTCTTCACAAATTACAGCAATAAAGAATCTGTAACTGAATTGGATTAATACAGCTTGACTATATCACTAAAAATGAAAGAAATCTGTATGTGCAGGTATTTCTTCAACTAATCATCAGATGCTTGTGATGCTTGTTACATTATAAATGTAGCCAATTAAAAAAAAATTACTTTCAAAATAGAGCCTTCAGGTAATCAAGCACTAGCAGGAGACTCAAAAGCAAACCACCATTACCTCAATCCACTAGGCTCCACCCAGCCCCTCACCTACATCCTCATCAATTGTACTGATTGACAGTCATGGCTCCCACCCTTCATTTTGGCCTTCTCTGATTAGGTGGAAGGGGGAGGCTTGCTCAAAAACCTAGCAGGGAACATCTCTGTATTAATGCCAAGCTGTTCAATGAGTCTGGGTTAGAGAAGCAATTGACAGCATCTCTCCACATAAGGACATGTTTTGAAGCATATTTAAATAAAACAATATTTGAAAAAAGGTACACACCCTAGCTAGATTAAATCAATTCCTAATAGTTGTCAGATGTTGGAATATGATATAAATGAAGTGACCTCTGTGTGCTTGCATCTTCCTTTAGTCCAAAGGTCTTGTCTGGCCTGTAATACAGTAGTTAGTGTTGACACATGGCCAAGCATTCTCCAGGGAGAAAGCCACATTTACCGTACCACTGCATGGATCAGTGAACCAGTCACCTCCATTCTGCTAAACCACAGAAACCCATCAAGTACAGGTAAACAGAAGACAGAGTGTGTGTGGGTATGTGTATGTGACTGTTAGTGTATGTCTAAGGCGCAAGTGCTCTTCACGATCTACTGTACTAATGCTGACCTACTTTATCACTGTTTGCCCCCAATGGTTAAATATAGTATTGTTGTGGTGGAACAGTAAGTATTCATTATGTCACCATGGACATGAGCATTAAGGTGTGAAATGAAAAGTGGCAAATTAAGGAAGCACTGAATCTCTGGCAATAAAGTGGAAAAAAAATGGTGTCTGAATCAAATCCACATAAGCCTTCACTATAGCCTTAGTCCTGGTGTTGTTGTATGTTATTGTACATACAATGTTATTGTAGGCTCTTCTTGCAAAGAGAAGACAAAGTATTCCAGTACCTAAACAGTCGAAAGACATAACTTGGCAACAGAGGTATATCCTTGAGGTAAATATGCAACCTCTCCATCATTGCATACTTTCTGGTAAACAGAAGAAAGTGCTGCCACTAACCACTGTAACAGTTCCAGCTTTTAATTCATTCATTAGTCATGGGCTTTACAACAGACACGAGAAACCTACAAAGAGGAAACCAATGTCCTATCAGGTCTCATTCATATGGTGCAGGAGATTCACACAGTGATGTGTTCTGTCATTTAATAGGTGAAGGTGGAGTGATGGAGTTGGTTAGCTCCTCAGCTGCATTTGTAAACTATATAAGAAAATGTAGTGTATAAAAGGTAGGCTTAAGCTTGTACCCTTTCAATCAAACAGCATTGTGATTGTACTTTTTGACTGTATGTAACAGCGTGTAACATAAACAAAATAAATAAATAAATAGAAAACTAAATAACTTAAAAACCTTTTCTTAGTGTGTAACTGAAAGGCCAATGAATGCAAAATATAGTTCCTCCCTACAGGATATTCATTCCTTTGACCTATTACTACATAAAAGACATGAATGCCCAGACAGATTAAGGTGAATTTACAACATAGTGAATGTCACTTGTATAACCAGTAGTCCAGTTTAATATATTTTCCTATTGTCTGGTTGCACAGATGTTTTACAGATAATTCAAACTGCCGTTATAGCACACCTACACACGCGCCCACACAGCAGGGATTATTTTCTTCCTGTTTCACCGTCATTGCGCCACACACTCTTGATTGCATTTCTGACACTGGTACTGAATGACCATTCTGGTGTTTCCCGAACCTTTCATGATCGATCTGATAGATGCACAACACGTCATAAAACGGGATCATCAGCTTGACTGGAGAAAATAGTGAACTACCAGTAACCATTTGTGAGCATTTGAAATAACAATGCAACAAGTTTTCTCTTAAACTCAGTAGTGCACTTAGCCAGTGGGGGCCCTTGGGGGCCGCTGCTATGATTCTGAGGGGCAGTCACCAGCTATCCAGTCTCTCCTTCTTTCTGGCTGGATAAAAGCGCCATGTTAAGGGAGTAGCGCGCTTCTCCGCGCACTGGGAGCGGGAGAGGCGGGTGGGAGTGCTTACCTTGGCAGTCGCCCTTTTATACCTCATGGCCGCTTGTTCTACAAGGTTGTGAACTTTAATATTTCCATTGCCACACGGAACGACCACTCGGGTCCTCCCGAAACACACCGTCACTTTCATTCCTCCTCCGTTGCGTTAATCCCAATGAGGAAACAGCCGCATCAAAACAATAACCATTCCCGGCGTGCGAAGGTTAAAGACGAAATCCCCAGCTGTTGAGAAACGACTTAAATGTCGCTTTGTCTTGTCCTGTTTCCACGGAAGAAAACTGCGGCAGATCCAGCAGTAATGCAGGGTGGCGTCCTCCTTGTGCTGTGTTGACTCACATACAGAAACTTCCTAACAAAACGCCTCTCCTGGGAGAGTGCACAACAGGACTGTCACTGCGGGTGCGACCACATGATGGAGCAGGCACATTCTTCCAACACTATCCAATCCAATGCAGGTCACAGCTTGACGTCGACGGGGGAAAATTCGTCGAAATTTTATATTACTTTGCTTTTATATCATAAAACATGCGCTGTAGCCTATGTGGGTTTACAGGCATATTGGTGTGATAGAAAACCTTCTGAAGCTGAAGTCCAGTCTTACCTGGGGCAGGTGCTTTGGTTTGAGGAGTACTTGTTTAATAGAACAAAATAAGGGGCTGTCACTGAATCCTGCAAAGAGAGATGTGAATTCTTTCCAGATGAATAATTACCTGCTGTTCCTACATTTCAGTGTCTTCTGGAATCAGACAATACCTTATCAGAAATCCTGATCCAGGCTAAAGTTGGGTACTGCAGTAAGTGTCAGACAATTTCCACATTTGGATTTGAGGTGTCTGATTACTTGGATGATTCATCATATGGTAGCCTACACCAAAACAAATGTTGAATTTCATTTGGAATGAATGAAGTGAACTCCCCAGCAGCATAGGGTGTATGAGTTGTGTACTTTCACTTAAATTTGTGCACTTTTAAGGTGCTCTAAATTAATTAGACTTTTTTCATTAAAGGTTGTTGGGGTGGGGGTGCTCTTTTCTGGTTCAAGGGTCCTAAAACAGAGGGTGTTGTATGCTGTACAGGAAATGTTTTTAAGATAAACTGCCCACATCCAGGTGTCAAAGTTTATACAAAGTACTGAATTAAGGATCTGGATACTTTTGTAAATGAGTAAATTCAGGTAGGGATTTTTTAATAAATTAGCACAAAAAGTCTAAAACATGTTTTGATTTGTCTACTTTACATATTATCTATTTAATAATTCTTCCATACAGTCAAATGTGCAAAAAGGGGTCTGAATACTTTGGGAGGCTAATGTACAGTATGTTGTCAGAAAGAACTGCTGAGGGGACACCAAAGTCTGTATTTTAGTGAGATGCATCTATGTCTCTAACTCCAAAGTATATATTAATGTATAGCATAAATATCTGAATTGCACCACCAGATGAGAAATCTGCCTAAGGCTGGATCTACAATATGACCCAATTTACTGATAAAAGCTGCAACCTTTCTGTAGAGCTTCACTCACTCTCTGCAGCTCTTATTCATTATGAGTGGAAGACCAGGATCTCGATGCAAGATATAAGTGAAGTTTCAAGTTTTAACCCTCCTGAGCTTTCAACAGCTTTTTTTTTCTTTTTCTTTTTTTAGGAAGAGTAAGTGTAATCACCCAGCCAGCACCAGCATTCATTTCTTGCCAGATTCTTTGATGAACTTTCTTGGTAACTTTCATGCCCATTGTTTACCTCAGTTTTGTGTATATTGATTGTTCTTGTGTTTTTGTTTTCTTGTGTTTATGTTTTTGAACCTTGCCTGCCTTTGGACTCGCCTCTGTCCCTGAATTTACTGCTTAGCCTGGTCTGGACTGATTACATGCCTCTGACCTTTCATTAGCTCTTTTTTTGCCTCTGCTTCTGCAGCTCGGTTTTGGCAGGCTGTGCACTAAAATAAGCATCTCTTTTTCCCTGTGTAATAATAAACCATTACGCATTATCTAGCTTGCTAGTCTGCATTAGGGTCCTCCTTTTATATTTACTGTTTCTTTAGAAAGAAACATGACCAAATAGCACAGCCTGAGGATTGCCATGTGAGGGGATACACTGACATATTTTGTAAACACCAACTATTTCTGCCTGACCTCCAGTTTCCCAACAATCACACAACCACTGTACAAACTGAAAATGGAATCCATAATCATCAAAAAGTTACATCAATAGAAGGTTCTCATATTGTTGTCAGAACAACAGGCACATCCATAAACTTGTGTGCTGAGCTGAGTGTGCGAAACAGATTAGGATACATACAGTACAGTCGCATCTGCTCACTTTTTCTTCTCATGCACTTCATTCTTTGAAATAAAATCTTATGTAATATAATCCTTTGTTTAGTGTTTACGTAGAATGTAAACCCCTTTTTATTGGCCAGATGTTGAAACAAAGAAATTGTGCATTTAAAACTGATCACACCTGAGTGCAACTTGAAGTTCTCTGTGTGCCAGTGCAAAGACTCTGTTTTGCTCCACTTGTTATTAAGTCTGACTCTGTGAAGCTTTGGACAGATGGTCGTGTAATAATTCTGATTAATATTGCCCAAATTTGGGTAATTAGCTGAAATGTCTTGCTGGAGAACCACACACAGCATTGACAGCTTGAGTCTGGTCGCTGACATTTTGTCAAAGGTCTTCTCATTTTCCTTCTAGCTCTATCTCCCCAGTTTCTTGTCTGCCTCATATGTATATATATATATAATTTATTACCCTGTGTTCAGTGTGTATGTTGTAGCTAAAAGGTGTTTCTTGGTAGACATGTTCCAACAAGGTCCCAAGAGTGGAGGGCGTCATGAAATAGGACAAACCCTTCTGTCATAATAGACTTACCTCACCCCTGCAGAATTCAACACCCACATACACACTGCCTTTATATACTGCAGATCAATCCATACACACATGTAATCTACTGGGTACTTTGTCTACCTTTACAATCTTCTATTACCACCCTTCTTTGACTCTATTGAAGGTGTATTGAAACTTTCAACTTGTGGAACAGGCTATGAACTCAGGGGAAGATACCCTTTATATGTGGACTTAAAAATTCAAATAAAATTTGCATTATATGTACAGTGAATTCCCTAAAGTGAAGCATCATGATTTATTGTCATGGCTGTCTGGGTGGTTGCCTTTAACATCAGGCATGTCATGCAAGAAATTGCATGTTAAGGGCAGATCCAAGACCAGGCAAGATTTTGTGAGATCCAGCTGCAAAGATGGCTATAAAAAATCAAAATCACATTTATTTTTCTCCACAACTGCATATATAGGTTGATTTTTAAACAGTTTCCTTAGAGAACTGCAACAACGCCATACGGCAGGGGTGGCCAGTTCCAGTCCTCAAGGGTCGCTGTCCTGCTTGTTTTCCAACTATCCCTGCCTGATCTGCTGCTGATTATCTGGCTCAGGTGTGTTCAGCCAGTCAGAAGCTGGAAGATACCAATTCACTTTATCTTTCCTCACTCCACTTTCATCTAAGATGGTATCTGCCATTTCAGGATTCTGTGCTCTTGATCTTTATAACACCAAAACTGTAGGAAGAAGGGAGATGAGAGAAGGCATTTTGTTCCTATGTACTCATCCATTAGCTCTTCATTTCATCTTTGTCTAATTCTTGTCCAGTTCTTCATGCAGCTGCTTCATGTGAGTCTGCAGATAGAGATGTGATAATTAAGTGATAGTAGTTTCAGGTACAGAATAGTAGACTGCAGTTTTGTAATTTAAACCCCGGTGAACTGTATCATTGACAGATAAGAAAGTCTCAATTGAAATGCTTTATTATAACTCAATAATAGCTCAAGGCAATCTAACCATAACTCAGGTTAACATATTACCACAAGAAACATGGATTAAAACTTTAATCTTACAAGCTTAAAAATTTTTTACTGTGATATACCTATTATACCCAAAAAAAATTTAATAAACTAGCTAATCTGATATTTGTTTTTATAATTTTCATAATGTGTCCTTTCGTTTCACATAATAAATCCTTAATAAATCACTTAATGCATCATTTCTATATTCTGATATGTCCTGCAACCTCAACAGCACTGCTGCTCTGTATGTCTGAAAGCGCAGGCTAAATGAAATACTGTACCTTGTCTTGCCTTCTCTCTCAGAATCTTCATTCAGTGAAAATAGCTCTTACAGACAGGACAACACACTATTTAGTATTTAAACTGATACAGTAACATGCAATTATGTGAACTGCTTAAACACCCAAAACATAAATAAAACAGGACTCAGGAAGGACCCACTAACAGGCAAAAATGTACCTGAGGACCTTTATAGATTCCTCCTAGTTTGTGTGTATTGGGCAAATTTCAGCTCTTTTTTTGGGATGTGGCTGTTTTGTAAAACTTTGTTATTCCATGTTAGACTCATTCCTTCATTTGAAAAGACCTGCACTGGGAATATTTTACCCAAGGTCATGTTTTAACCATGCAGGATTCATTTCTCTAAATTATGTCACTGCTACAAGGGCATAGGTTTGGTCTGAGCACCAGTAGGGACATCACAGCAGTCTGTTGACCACATGGTGGAAGCAGTTGAAGAAGCAATGATTCAAAGGGTAAATCCCAATTCCCATATATTATTATTCCTCAATCCTTACTTGATCCAGAAGTCATTACACTCTGCCATCTTTAAGGATGTCCTAAAGCTCCTATTCTTGCTCTGTGGAGTGAGGAGTGAGGAGCAAGGAGGCTGACTGGAGGAACCATAAGTGAGGATACATGACACCATCCTTTGTGGAAGTCTTTCATGAACCAACATGCCCCTTTATCAGAAATCATCCATCCATCCATCTTCTAAACCACATAGTCCCAAATGGGGTCACGGGGGGCTGGAGCCAATCCCAGCCAGCTGTGGGCGAAAGGCGGGGTACACCCTGGACAGGTCGCCAGTCCATCGCAGGGCTTATCAGAAATCAGTTGGTGATTAGATTCTTGTAATGAAGGAAAGTTTGTTTCATTTCTGAACAGATGCTTCCTTGATTCTTCTCTTCTTATATTTTTCTTGCATTTTTTTCCTCACCTTTTACTGTACTTGGGACAGACTAAGACACAAGGAAAAGATACAAGTCAGAGAAACATGGATGTAACTAGAACACTAACCCTCACAAGACAACTCAGTTTCATGGCTGATCTTCCTTTGGCTTTCTCACCCATTCTGACCTGTGGCTGCATTAAGCACAGCTGTCCATGCAACAGTTCACTTCGCACATGCTATACTTCTTGTAAACGTTGCATGCTGAATGTGCATTAACCAGATTTTTTTAACCATTGACACATGCTCTGTAAATATGAGTCCCTGATACTGTGCTGTGTCAGTGGGTTTGATTTTAGTTTGGTTCACTTTCTACATACATCTAAATTAAAGAAAGCCATTGTTAAATCAAATGGAAGGGTCCCTAAAAGTTGGACCTATTACAAACTAGAAATCAACAAGACATGAATAGTGAGTTAGACACATTATTTAGTGCAATATCAATAAGTGACTTTTGTTTCATTTCATTATCATGTGAAAACCAAACAATGGTGCATAAGTTCTGCAGGTGTTCCAGTTTTCTGAAATATGGCCCATTTTGCTTCTGTTTTATGTGAAGATCTGGAGGAAAGCTGAGCTTGTTGCTGTTCAGCTTTGGTCCAGTGTTTCTTCCTTTGTTACAGAATGACCTGTAAAAATAACCTTTTCTCAGAAATGCACAAAAACTACAGAGCAACAACAGTCAGGGCAAAGCAAACCTGACTATGAAAACAGCAGAATCCATCAAAGTGCTCTCTGAGGTAACAGGCAGATTTCAAGCTTTGATCCAAACTTTTTCAACACTAAAGATAAACTTTGAACTGTTCTCTTAAGAATTAAAGATTGTTG